GTGATAGGTCATAACGTTATTATGAACAATAATTGATTTTATACAACAGTAGTTGTAGTTAGATGCAACCAGTAAAACGAATCTACAAGTAAGGGTGACAAACGAGCAATAGTCCACCTGATAGAAAGTGTATCATGTGGCCCGTAGACATCTACATTTATCCTGCTATGTGAAACTGTTAATAACAGCCACACGTCACGATAAGTACCTTAAAAAGGATTTCATAAGATTCTCAGTAGAGTATTTTGGTAGGTAAACATCATAAATCTTCAGGTGGCTTAAAATACTTCGACGTTAAAGCCTTATCTCGACGATGGCTTCATCAATCAATATATCGTTATTCATAGTAGACGTGCCACATTATATTTTTATGCATAAACTCTCGGCATTTCGAAGAAAACATCGGCTCTAAATACATTTTTTCCCTTTATTGTATCCATAGAGAGTAAGTCGTTGAATTTAAATTTCTAATAAAATTTCTGCCTAGAAAAGTTTTAAAAACGTATTTAAATACACATACATATAGCTTGCTTATGCGTACTCCATGGGAACCATGTTTTATGAAAGTAGTCAACTTGTAATGAAAATTAGAATTTTTGTTTTGTAACCTACTTATTTACCCGAGCAAAGCAAGTGTAGGCAGCATCCGGCGGAGTGATGTAAAAATTTAAATTTTCTCAATATTTATGAATGGTCATGATTCTCCTACTTTCTCTTTTTAATTGAGATCACCAATAAATCTCATTACGGCTCTCCATGGAGTCCAAAGTTGCTAAAAGGCATTTTATCGGTAGGAACTTCTACTATTTCTTAATATTAAAAAACAAAGAAATCGTGGCCAACTAAATCATCAAAAGCTGATTGACCTACCATAAATTTTTCTAGAAATATCAACCGTTTAAGCTAAAATTTCTACTGTTATCTACCGATGCCATTATACCAGATATAAATTCTGAAGACAACAGGAAAAAACATTAAGATGTGAGACATGTCGTACTACAAACGTGGTGATTAGACGCAAATCTGTGGGACCCAGTGAAGCACTGAAGTGTCAAGATTAGAGCAATTTAAGAAAAAAAAATGAAAAATCGTGCAAGATAAAGTACACAGAGAAAAAGAAATGTCATGTTTTTTTTACTCATTATACGTGCTTGACTGCAATCCCAAATGGTGGCAAGCGAACAAGCGACGATAAAGCCCCAGATGGTAAATTACACCGTCTTGGCGTTACAAAAGCTTACATTTTGCCAAATGCCGTATTTTTATAGAATAAGGGTGAATGGCAGAAACTGGATTCGTGTAGCCAAACATCGGGCTAAGTGGCGCGCTTTGGGAGAGGCGTATTTCCAGCAGTGGACTGCCGCAGGCTGATGATGATAAACGGTGATTAAACGAGCATACAGTCCACCTGATGGTATGTGGATGCTGTGGCCCATAGACATCTACATCTATCCTCGAATAAAAGTCATAACGCAGATGCTTTGTCACCCCTGAGGACTAAGATGGAATGCGTCAGTAAAAGGGGACTGCAGTTCCACCATGCGAAACACGGTAGCAGCTTAATCTGCTCTTTTCCGCTGGTGTTTTGTGAGAGAGCCGACCCATTCGTGCTACAGCTATGATACTAATATAGATTCAGCATGGCTCTAACACGTAATTACAATCTCACAACTAATCTATTAAAACATTTGACTTCCTAACGATAGTTAAATATAGGTCATACTTACATTAAAGTGATCTTCACAGAAGTATAGTCTAGTTTTTATAGACAATGTCTTCGGGTATCTTCTTGGCAGTTTTAACCAAGTATTTCTCATATTAATTCAATTTACATTTGGATCCATAACTTCCCTGGCGTTCTTATGCTCGTATTTTTGCATTCAGTCAAAATACACCAATGATAAAGATTTATTTTTTAGAATAATTGTCAAACATTCAAAAATGCCTTTGCAAAATCGTTTTATTTACTAGCACAGCGACGCCACGAGCTAAACAGTATGGCGGCTAACGTGTTTGCGTGAAATTTTAAAACGATAGATTTAAAGTAATTTTTATGGCACAATTCGGTTTAAAAAAAAAAGGTATTAAAATTATAGTGCTACAGTATTTAAAAATGGTTGTATTTTTGTTTCAAATGAAACCCTATTGGGTAACAAACTTAAATAAAAAATTAAAACTATAAACTTAAGTTACGACGTTAGACTCGCTAAAACTCGAAAACAGCTCGAGCGAATTTGATAAATTTTTTGTGTGTATCTGTCTCCTTTCCTGTAAAAAGGGTCTCCGAATCTCTGATCTTTACACTCACCATACGAAACACAGTGTGCAATTAGATAACCAGCTATCAATGCTGGTGTTCCACAAGACTGCGTACTATCACCAACGCTGTTTCTTCTGCCTATCAATGATATGTTGCAAGCCGGTAACATTCATTGCTATGATGATAGCAGATGATGCTCTGTACACTGGCCGTGTCAATATTTCTCGGGAAAACGTCTCCTAGTACCGGAACAAACTTGTTTCTGAGGTCGAGTCTTTGCTGAACAAAGTCTCGAATTGGGGGCGACTAAATGTACTCCAGTTTAACCCTCAGAAGACACAAGTTTGCGCGTCAACCGCTAAAAAACCCCTTTGTCGTATCTCCCCAGTTTCAAGGCACTCCCCTTGTTGCCTCAGCCAGTATCGGAATCCTCGGCGTCGACACATCGAGTGACGTGTAGTTTTCGTAGTCACTTGAAAGAGAAGGTCAAATCGGCCTCTAAAAAGCTTGGCGTGTTCAGCAGAGCGGGACAGTATTTCATGCCGACACACCGCCTGCAAGTTTACAAGGCGCAGGTTCGGCCGCATATGGAATACTGTTCCCATCGCTAGGCTGGGGCTCCCCAGTGCCAGCTCCTTCAACTGGACCGCATCTAACGCAGAGCGGCTCGAATCGTCGACGACCGAGTGCTTTCTGATCATTCGATTCACGACGATTCTGATTTCGATTCACTGGCGCTGTGAAGAGATGTTGCATCTCTTTTCGTATTTTATTGCTTCTATCACGGGGAGTAATCTGAGGAATTGTTCGGATTAATCCCAGCCGCCAAATTTCATGAACGCACTACGCAGCAAACCTCTCGATACCATCCACACCATGCTTGGCGGTCCACCACTGTACGTTTCACAAGGAGTTTTCTTCCGGGTACGACCTCGCTGTGGAGTAGTTTACCACCAGCAATTTTTTCGGACCAATACGACCTGGGGACCTTCAAGAAAAGAGCTTACTCCTTTCTAAAGGGCCGGCAACGCACCTTCAATTCCTCTGGTGTTGCGGATGTTCATGGGCGGCGGAAGACATTTAACATCAGGTGAACCGTATGCTCGTTGGCCTCCTCTTCTATAAAAAAAGAGCACAGTCCTTCCCCGGTCGACCCATTCGTTCTACAATCACAATATTTATTATTTATTTATTTATTTACACTTTATTGCACCATAAAAAGATTACAAAGGGCGGACTTAATGCCATTAGGCATTCTCTCCCAGTCAACCCGGGCTGTATCATGGCTCTGTCACGTAAACGAGATCTTGTACGATCACTCTGGCATTTTATATTTCTATGTCACCTCTTACGTCACCCAATTGACTAAATGTAGACTCTTAATAAGCCGTCATCGCAAAAATAATTAATTAGGTATTTCATTTTTTTTTTTATTTTATATACATACAACATACATAGTCATTACAGGTGAGCACCCTAATTCGACAGTGTAGCTAACGATACAGTACCATATGCCACTCTACTGAGCTCACTCAGCGAACATGAAAACAAATCAGTTTGCTCCGATATGGCGTTGATCACACGCAGCGCGCGCGCGAGCGGCGCCTGCTGCATCAGTGCAGTGCGCGCGCGCGGCACCGCCAGCAACGGCGGCCGCCGCCGACGCCCCGCGCACCCATCCGACGAATTGAGTCGCGCCATCTCCAGCACTCTCGAGTTGTGTATTCTACCCCTCATCACCTTCAACACGTACATTGCGAGAGCTACTTCTCTTCTGACTTCGAGCTTGTAGTATCCTACCATACCGAGCAAAAATAGAGTAGGATACAACAAGGGATAGCCCGGGTCCAAATAGTTTCAAGTACATGAATCTAATAAATTGATTTTGGATCCGCTCTAACATAAATTTGTATTTGACTTCATGAGGAGCCCAAATGACAGCGTTACACTCTAAGTGGCTCCTTACGAGTGCATCATATAGTGCTCTGAGAGCCCTGACGTTTGTGAAATTATTTGCAAGACGCATTATCAATCCGAGGTTACGGTATGCCTTTATACAAACATTACTTACATGTAATCCGAAATTTAAGCCTGCAGTGAAACGTAAACCTAGATCTTTAACCTCCTTAACTCTATGAAGCAGTTTCCCATACATCACGTATTGGTGATGGATTGGAGCGCGTGAGCGGCTAAAGGACAGTACTGAGCCTTTAGAGACATTAAAGAAAAGTTTATTATCAATGCTTCATCTTAAAACTTTATCAATATCATGCTGTAAAAAAACAGCATCAGATATATATCTAATTTCTAAAACTAATTTTAGATCATCGGCAAACAATAATGGAGTACTAAAATTGACTACATTTGGCAAATCATTTATCATTAAAATGAACAGCAAAGGTCCTAGATTGCTGCCCGTACTAACACCAGATCTAGTAGGGTACGGTCGAGAAAAGTGCCCATTGTAATCGACAAAATGATGCTGGTCTCGCAGATAACTGGCGAAAAATGATAGCGTGCGAGGTGTGCAACCCACACAAGCCAACTTACAAAGTAACACATCGTTGTCAACCGTATCGAAAGCCTTTCTGAAATCAAAGAAGACTACATCCACGTGCAGGCCAGCATCAACCGCGGGTACTAGATGCGGCATCATCTCCAGTAACTTCCCAGTTGTACCCCGCCCAGGGCGGAAGCCGACAGTTGTGAATGGCCGTATCGAACACTTTCGCTGGAGTGCTTAAGACTGCCACGGATCAGTGGAGTGTTGTGTGGTTCGAGGTGGAATTAAGTCAGACAATTCCTTCTGGAGATCAGCGGAGTGGTGTGTGGTTCGAGGTCGAATTAAGTAAGACAATTCCTTCTGGAGATCAGTGGAGTGTTGTGTGGTTCGAGGTGGAATTAAGTCAGACAATTCCTTCTGGAGGTCAGCGGAGTGTTGTGTGGTTCGAGGTGGAATTAAGTCAGACAATTCCTTCTGGAGATCAGCCGAGCGTTGTGTGGTTCGAGGTAGAATTAAGTCAGATAATTCCTTCCGGAGATCAGCGGAGTGTTGTGTGGTTCCAGGTGCAATTAAGTCAGACAATTCCTTCTGGAGATCAGCGGAGTGTTGTGTGGTTCGAGGTGGAATTAAGTCAGACAATTCCTTCTGGAGTTCGGCGGAGCGTTGTGTGGTTCGAGGTGGAATTAAGTCAGTCAATTCCTTCTGGAGATCAGCGGAGCGTTGTGTGGTTCGAGGTGGAATTAAGTCAGATAATTCCTTCTGGAGATCAGCGGAGTGTTGTGTGGTTCGAGGTGGAATTAAGTCAGACAATTCCTTCTGGAGATCAGCGGAGTGTTGTGTGGTTCGAGATGGAATGAAGTCAGACAATTCCTTCTGGAGATCAGCGAAGTGTTGAGTGGTTAAAGGTGGAATTAAGTCAGAAAATTCCTTCTGGAGATCAGTGGACTGTTGTGTGGTTCGAGGTGGAATTAAGCCAGACAATTCCTCCTGGAGATCAGCGGAGTGTTATGTGGTTCGAGGTAGAATTAAGTCAGACAATTCCTTCTGGAGATCAGCGGAGTGTTGTGTGGTTCGAGGTGGAATTGGCGCCTAAAAAAAGTTCGCCGAAGGAATTGTCTGACTTAATTCCACCTCGAAACACACAAAACTCCGCTGATCTCCAGAAGGAATTGTCTGACTTAATTCCACCTCGAACCACACAACACTCCGCTGATCTCCAGGAGGAATTGTCTGACTTAATTCCACCTCGAACCACACAACACTCCGCTGATCTCCAGAAGGAATTGTCTGACTTAATTCCACCTCGAACCACACAACGCTCCGCTGATCTCCAGAAGGAAAAATTTCTATTTATGTTTTAAGAAAACATAACAAAAACAGAAAAATTAATTTTTGTTCATTTGAGAAGTACCTATCACGCAAAATCCTGGATCTATAGTAATTTACTTAGTTAAGAAAAATTAATAAAAATAAAGTCAAAATTTATGGTTAAAAATTCATTGATATTATAAAAGGCAGTATTTATTAGCCACTGCTTTAAACTTTTTTTCATTCGCCTTAAGAGGATAGAGTAAGTCAGCTCAAATTCTAATTTCGCCCCCACTTCCCCGCGCGTCGTATGCTATGTCCGATATGTTTGTAATCACTAATACTGTAAGTAGAAAGGTCGTTAGACACTTATTTCATTAGGTTTATCATATTTATGCCTGTTTCTTAACGCCAAGCCAGCCGCTTCTTATTTTTATCACGGTTATTTCCCATTTTAATTTTACGTCGTACTGTTGCGTAATGTATATTCTGATCGTAAGCGACACAACTTCTCCCTTCAAAAGCCTAAGCGATACTAACGGGGCGACTGGAATCAAGCTCAAGACGCCGATAGTTTAGGTAATTTCTTTTTACAGTGAAAATAATGGTATTTTAAAAAAAGTAAATAACATAAGCACTGCTTTATAGTTAGTTCAGTTAGTATGCAAAGTTTCATGATCTTATTTAAAGTATTTTGTGAATAACAGCGGTTTATTGTTTATTTTGGAGGTAACTTTGGATTTTTTTTCTATCGAGAAAATTTTACGAAATCGTGTTTTCGTCTAACATAATCATTAACATTAATCCTCAACTTTACCATATATTTATTTCAAAATTAATGCTGCAATGTTTTCGGCATAACGAAGGATCTTGCTAAGCCATTTGACATTATATTTCCCCTTAATACGTTCGTTCGTTCGTTCGTTCACGAATATTTTAGGAACTTTATAATAAACCTTGATACACATTATGAGGCAATTCCTCTGGAATAATGTAGTTTTACAAGATGGCATGAGTAGCCGTGTCGGATCTCTTTTTTGCTAGAGAGTTATTATTTTCCTGCACGGTAACAAATTGATTAGAATTATTTTTAATGAAAACACAGATTTCTAACTTTTTTCCTTGAACAGGGGTCTACAGCTTTCAAGAGGGCCTACATTACACAGTGCACGAATACATTTCTTCTGACTTAGGAAAGCTTTGTTTGCGTCATCACAGTTACTATTGGTCTACAGTTTCTTCGGTCAATTCGACAATCGCAGCAATTCTTAAGACGCTACCCTGACCAAAACCTGGCAAAAGTGCGTTTTTCAGACTCTATTATCTCATTAGTTATGAAAAATAAACTACATCTAAAAGTACATTATTAATGTTCGATATCTTATCATCGCATTCCACGTTCTAATTTATTTTTATGTGCTATAAATACATTTAAAATCAACTTTTAAAAATTGACTAAAATTCTTGATTACATGCATCTGTTGCTAAACGCAACGCTCTAATCATTTGAGGATAACACTAATGGATAGATAATGAAAAAATCTATATTCTCCACGTTTTATTTAAATTTTTAAGTTCGTTTTTTCTCTTTTAATTGAAATAATTCTGAAAATTGTGTGACTTCTATGATAAAGGGGCGTGCGCAGAGTGCGGGCGGCATTACGCTGTATGCGTTCATACGGGGTAGCCGCGTCGCTGGTCGCCGCGTTTTGTATTTCGCCGCAAACATAATATTATTTGAGTACCTACCAACCGATGCGCTTACGTCACGGTATATTGTAACTCGGCCGTATCTTAGAAATAAATATTACAGCCGTGCGGTACGTAAACATGCGATAGGGCTGCTGCCTCCAGTATTTTTACATTTGCCCATTGATTTATGTGTTTTATAACTCAATGCATTTTCCTACTTTGTGTTTCCATTTAGTTTTATGATTGTACTTAAATATACTTTTTTTATATAAACAAATATAATAGGTACTTTGTGAATTGAATAGGAAGTGTTCAATAAAAATGCGTGTCGTTTTATGATTGGTAGATTTAATTAAAAAACCATGTTTATGTTTGAATAACAAATCGGTCTTATAAATTTGCGGCCGAAAAATATTTGCGCCTCGGCTGAGACGTACGAAATGCTTTATTATTAAAATTTTAAATATAAAAAATCCGCATTATAATATAAAGCTTAATTAAAAATTGTTTTGGGAAACATGGACAAGTTGGAGTAAAGGAATATCTTTTACTTGGTTATAGATACCTGCAGCTATTTTACAATTTATATGTTTGGTTTTAAATGAAGTTTGGATTTATTATTTTTTTATTTCTATTCTATTTTCTGAAAGGGTCCTAGGAAAGGAATTATCCACCGCGCTGCCCCACTGCGTGTTGGCGAACTTTGCATGTCTTCGAAATATTATTTTTCTTATTTCTCAGACATGCAGGTTTCCTCACAATGTTTTCCTTCACCACTGAGCACGTGGTAAATCAACACTTAAAATTGCAATTACAATATTATTGGTGCCGGCGGGGATCGAACCCGGTTTGCTCGCACACTGTGAAAATTTTAGCAAGCGCTAACCGTCTGAGCTACCACGGCTCCTCTCCTCTCGAGCTAGAGACTTTATTTTATTTATCGTCAGGCCTGTTGGTCTAGTGGTTAGTGACCCTGACTGCTATGCCGTAGGTCGTGGGTTCGATTCCCACCCAGGACAAATGTTTGTGTGATGATTTATCTATAATATTTATGTATTTAGAAATATATAAGTATGTTTATCAGTTGTCTAGTACCCATAACACAAGCTCTGCTTAGCTTGGGACTAGATGGCGTTGTGTGATATTTGTGGAATATTATTATTATTATATTATTATTGTTGGGGTATCTGTATAGTTTTCTCATCTGGTTGGTTTTTATAAATATAAATTAAAATGAAAAGATAAATATACATAAATATCAATAAAATAAAATAAATACAAAAAATATACAAATAAATAAAGATCCAACCATATTAAATAAAAAATAGTCTCCTATCTTTCTCTCTATGTTTTGATCTCCTAAAACGAGTTTGAGTTGGTAAAATCAAGGCAAACTTAGGGTAGGGTTGACAATTATTATTTTGATAATAAAACTAGTGAAATTCCGCGGTTTTATATGCGCAAGCGTGAACGTAGTTAGAACATAATATAACCTTTATATTTTACATAAATATCCTAAAAAACTTATTATTTTAATATTTTACTAAGTACCTATAAAATTAACAAGTTTATTGCATTTTTATTTGAGTAATTTTTTATGCAATTTCTTTATCTACGTCTATTTTTAGGAACCTTTATTTAGTCTGAATCATACATAACACTATATTACTGATTTACTTACTTATACGTAGTTTTTTTTTGCAGTTACAAATATCTTGTGAGGTTGAAAAAGGTAGTAATGAAAAAATAATAAGAATAATAATAATTGACGTCAACAACCACTTTTCATATCATGGTCCATTAGGTTGCAGCTTCACCGAACCACAACTTATAATAATAATAATAACAATAATAATATAATATTATTTTGTATTTATTTTATTTTATTGATATTAATGTATATTTATCTTTTCATTTTAATTTATAATTTTTATATATTTAAATATTTATATAACCGAACCAGATGAGAAAATTATACGGCTCCAACGATTTTAGCGACGAATGCTTGGATTTATTTTTAGAAAATGTCCTTTTGTCCATGTTTTCAGGCAATAAAAAAACTGCTACAATATAAGAAGGTAAATTTCGACTAATCATTAACGGTCGTTATAGCTCAGGTGGTATGTCGGTCGGGCGTGATATCGGAGTTCCGTGGTTCGCGTCTTGGCTTTGGTCCCGCTTTTTTTTCCTTTTTTTTTCAAGTTCCCTTCTTTTGTGAGAAAATTTATTATTTCAAACCCTTTTTTTAGTAATGTTTAAAAATACGAAAATTTTAATTTTAAAAATTTAAAAAAAATATCTATTTAGTTACTAATGCTATATTTATTATTTTAATAATTACCTACCCAGTAGGTAAATATTAAAATAATAAATGTAGCATTATAAACAGTAAATCTCCCTCAAACTCAATTTACTAATATTGCTCCTAAATAAGGAATAGCAGATAAAAGATTAGTAGGTACTATTAGTAGGTAGTAGGTATATAACTATTGCTCCTCAAAATTATATTTGACCTCAAGGTAAAACATATCCTAAAATTCAGTAGCTAAATAAAATAATAATAACTACTATTCAAGTATATTTTCAATATGTAAGTAAATGAAAATAACAAAAATGAAGCACCATTAGCATGTAAAGTTCGAATCCATAATTAATATTTCGACAAATATTATAATTTACACTATAAAAAGCTAATTCAATATTAGCAGTATAGTATATAGTTAAAAATAATCAAAATAGTCATTTTTATTAATTAGATAATATATTAGAATACATAATTCTAATATAATGCAACTAATATACCGAATAAAGAAAATTAAAATACATTTATCATTGTACGCCGTGTCTATTTCCATAGAAGAGTTCATTGACATTGAAAAAAATAATACTACGTTCGTAGCAGTAGGTGGCGTCTTTTGGCGATTTCTTACGCGATATATTGTAGCGAGCGTCGACAGAGCAAACGCTCAAGGTCGTTCGCT